ACAGGGGCCAGGAGGGGGAGGGATGTTATCTTCAGATCACCATCTGCACCAAACACATTGTGTCCCCCAAATCAAGGAACACACACAATAACATACAGCCAGATCCTCCTCCCCTCAATCTATGGGGGAGCCCTCTCATATCCCAGAGACTAGCTCCTAATGCCTGGCACTGGTGACTGTTTTGCCACCACCCCAGCCCAGGAGGGTTCACCCCAGTTCTAAGAGTTTAAAAGAGGACTTCGGAGCCCTTGGCGTCATCCTCACAGGTCTGTAAGGGCAAGCAGGGGAGACAAGCCAGCAGGGAGGCAGCAGCCCGAGCCCCCACGAGGCTCTATAGGCTCTTTTCTCTGGGCTTTCTCGGCGTTCTCTCGTGGCCTTTTCCTCTCCTGGCGCCGCCCTTATACTCAGGCCTCTAGCGCAGGTGTGCACACTCGGACCTGTGCACACTCCATGCTCAGGTGTCCGCGGGGGGCACCCGTGCCCCAGCCCACACGCCCTCCGCATTCACAGGTGCCTCGACCCCACACGCCCTCCGCATTAACGATCAAAGCCACAGGTGATAGTCAGGTACAAACAGCTGACAGAGCACAGGTGCGCTGACCTGGTGACCCTCATTCTTGCCTCTCTCAGGGGTGTTCTCAGCCACAAAACAGAAGGCCCCTGCAGTAGAACAGAACTCATATCACTATTCCCTGGGGGAGCAGCATTTTAATTTAATTCAAATTAAGCAAAATTTGAAATTCAGTTTCTCAGTTGTGCTAGCTGCATTTCCAGAACTCAATAGCCACATGTGATTAGTGGCTTCCACAATGGGCAGGCCAGATATAGACCATGTCCATCATTACAGAAAGTTCTGCTGGACAGCTCTGGCCTCGGCAGTGAGAGAGAGCCAAGAGGCTGGGTTCTGGCTCCACTTTAGCTTCTGGTGCTAAAGTGCTGAATTTAGACAAGCCCCTTTGCCTCTTAGGCCTCAGTTTCCCCATCTGTGTACCCTATCCCGCACTCCGTGCAAAGAGAAATGTAGTAAGGGCTGGTCTAGACCCTATGGGTGGATATTACCAGTCCGCTGCTTTGGGAAGAGCCCCAGAATGGGGGGGGGGAGGGGTAGCACCCTTCTGGTGTAGGGGTGCCCAGCTCACTTCCAGGCTCTAACAGATTCAGAAAATACACTGCAGTCCTGAGTTTACTGCACAAGAGTCTCTGAGTCTCAGATTCTCAGACAATTGTCTCCATGTCAGCACTGGCAAAGGCAGGAAGCAGGTTCTGCAGAGGACCGTGGGCTCTTTCCATTGGCTCTCGAAGAGTTCAGTGAAGCCTGAAGATCCCAAACATTCCCCTTGAACCTAGAAAGAGGCCTGGGGAGGGCCCTGGGGAAGAGGCAGCCTTGGGCAGGTTCAAGGGAGGGGAGGCCTGGAGAGTAAAGAGAAATGCGTATCAGCACTGCCCGTCCTCCCCACTTCCTCTCTTGAACGGATCACATCCTGTTATTGTGTGGACTAGAAGGCCAGGAGCTGGGGAGGGAGGCAGGGCTAGGTCCAAGCCAGTGGGGAGAGTAAGGAGGAGCCAGAGGGAATGTCTGGTAGCTCCAGCAGCTCAGCTCAGCACCCCCTGGCCCCATGAGTCCTGGAGAAGAGTAGGGGCCCCAGGAGGGAAGGCCAGCATCCCTGGAGCAGAGTACATCTGCCATTGAGGGTAGGTCCTGGGCCTCAGGACAGGCCAAGCCTTTTGCAGAAGCAGCTGGAAGAAAGGAAATGGCACCTCCTCCAGGAAGCCTTCCTCAGCCTCTGCCTCAGGTCCCTTTGACTGAACAAACATGGATTCTGGGCCTCCACTGCCAGGCCAGCTCTCCCATGTTGCCTGGGCCTCGCTACCCTATAGCGCTTGCCTGAAGCTTGTAATGCTCTGTAACTGTTCCACGACACCCCAACTTGCACCCAGACTAGGAGCCCCTTGCAGGTAGGGACCTCTTGCTGGCTCCCTAGCATTAGCCAGCATGTGACAAGTCTGGAGGGATTCCTACTGTTGTGGATGATGGAAGTCCCTCCTTCCCCCTCTGCTGTCTTTCTGTCTTCGGCCATTCCCAAGTATAGTCCCTTCCAGCCCCATTCCCATGTAGCTATTGAACCTGTGAAATGTCTAATAATAGTTACTTTCTTAAAAAAAAAAAAAAGCAGCATTATTTGAGCTCCCAAAACAGCCTAGTAAAATGAATGATAATATCTTCATGTAACAGGTGAGAAAACTGAAGTTCAGAGAGGTTAAGTGATTTACTCAAAGTCACACAGCTGATACAGTAAATGGCAGCTCTAGGGCTTAAACCCAGATAAGTCTAACCCCCAATGTCAGGCTCCTACTGTGGTCCAGGGCCTTTCCTATGCCACGCCACCCAAGCCCTGTCCTTGCCCCTGGGAGCTGACACATCAACTATCCACACCACACACAAGCCTACCACCAAGGCAAGCCCTCCGGTGCCCACCCTGCATGCACGTGGTCTGGGCCATGTGGCCAGAGCTGCTCTCCCTGTAGCACGCGCAGGCCTATCTGTTCTCAGGATACTGACCACCCATGGACCTTCTTCCCGGGGTGGTGCACCCTGGCTCAGAACTCAGACCTGGATTTGAATCCTGAATAGCCTCAGTGAATGTCCTCGCTCACTAGGCCTCATTTCCTCTGCTGGACAATGGAGAGGATGCCCAGCAGTCTTGACTCGCTCCTCTCCTTACTCTGATTCACAATGGCTGAGTCTCGACTGCAGGACACTGCCCAGCACATAACCTGTCTCTAGGGGCTAGTCAGAGGGATTTGCCCGGCTCACACCAGCCCTGAGACAAGATTCTCTGATTCTCAGACAACCGTCTCCATGTCAGCATTGCCAGAGGCAGGAGGCAGGCTGTGCAGAGGACTCTGCGCTCTTCCCATGGGCTCACAGAGTTCAGGGGCTGCTGGGAACAGTTGGCTGTTTGCAAGTAGGAAAGCGGGGCACACAGGAGGCAAGGCGACTCTGAGCAAGCCAGATAAACACCCCCTGATCGTCACCACCCTTCTCTCTACCCACGTCCAATGCGATAACCAGGTTGTACAGTCCAAAGCCCACACCCAGCTCCCTGCTGCCCCCCAGGTCCTTCGCCAGCCCAAGGGGCAGAGTTGCCCATCTGCCCCTGATCAGCTCAGGACCATTTCTTTTTCTTTCCTTTTTTTATGAGGGGCAGGAATCAGGCACCATAGGAGGAACCACCCTGCCTCCTGCCAGTCAGCCCCGCTGCCCTGCAGGCCTCCAAGCTGAGCAAGGAGCCTCTGCCCCAGAACAGCTCACCACTCGGCGATGTTGGAGAGAGCTGAGCCAGGTCTGGCCAGGGCACTGGAGGCGAAGGGACAGTCAGGCGGCGTGGCCTCATCCGTAGGGGCTGTGCCAAGGGTGCCATCAAGGCGCACAAGTGGGCTGACATCAGACACACAGAGTGAAGGAAACGGCGGCCATGCAAGAGACGGTGACCCCCAGAGCCAGGACAGGCTCCATGGCGCAGAGTGCATGGTGACCAGGTGACAGGAGGGTGGGAGCAGAGGCAGGGTAGAAACCAGTGCCCCCAAATGGACAGTTATTAAAAACAGAAAGTGGCAGCCCAGAACAGACAGGATAGTAAAAGAGGAGCAGAGAAAATAAAGCGGTGAGAGCCCACCGGCCATTCAGGCAAGGTCCCCTGGCGGGCAGAGGCTGTCCACAGAGCCAAGCCTGGACCTGCCCTGCCGGCCACCACTGTCACTGCTCATGGCTTATGAGGCCCTGGGAAGAGTCTGTTCTGCTCTGGGCCTCCGTCTACCCAGCCAAACAGAGGAGCTCAGACCCAGATGATCTCCAAGGGTCTGGGCATCCTATAGCCCCCTAGTGTCAGCCTTGAGGGCCACAGCCAAAGGCCTCTCCCTGCTCTCT